ACAAGAAAGCTATTGGATTAAAATGGATATTCAAAACAAAATTTAATACATATGGAAGTATCCAAAAGCATTAAGCTTGACTTGTAGCAAAATGATATTCACAATAACAAGTTATTGATTTTGATGATAACTTTTTTCCAGTTATTAGATTCGAAACTATGAGAACCTTCTTGGCTTTAGCTGCTTACTTGAGTTGGCTTGTTTATCAATTTGATGTGAAATATATATTTTTAAATGTAGATTTATACAAAGAGATTGTTGTTACTCAACTTAAAGGTTTTTTGGTTAAAGAACATGAAGAAAAGGTGTATAAGCTAAGAAAAGCTCTTTATGGGCTCAAACAATCTTCAAGGGCATGATATAGTAAAATTGATTATTATTTTCATCAAAATGGATTTAAGAGGAACAATAATAAATCTACTCTTTATCTAAAGAAGGAATGTGAACATAATATTCTAATGATTTATCTTTATGTTGATAATTATATATATGGGTTCATCTAACTCTTTTGTAGTAGAATTTTAAAAGTGTACAATGAATAAGTTTGAAATATCAAATCTAGATTTACTGCATTTTTTTCTTGGGTTGAAAGTGAAGCAAGGATTAGATGAAATTTTTATTTCACAAAGAAAGTATACAATGGATCTACTCAAAAAATCTAATATGATTAACTACAAAGCTATAGCAACACCTATGAATGTAAATGAGAAATTGAAACTTAAAGATGGTATATGTTTGACAAATGCAAGATACTACAGAAGTTTGGTTGGGGGTTTAATTTATCTAACTCATACTCGACCAGATATTACCTTCTCTATTGGTGTAGTATCCAGGTTTATGCATAGCCCAAGCAAACATCATTTCGGAGCTGTTAAAAGAATTCTACGTTATATTGCTAGAACTACATATTATAGTATTTGGTATTCTCATAATTTTAAATATAAATTATTTGATTTCACTTATAATGATTGCACAGGAGATTTAGATGATAGAAATAGTACTTCAGGCAATATTTTTAGCCTCAGATCATAAGCTATATCTTGAAGTTCAAAAAAGCAAGCAACAACTACATTATCGACATTAGAAGTAAAATATATAGTTGCAACATCTGTAGCTTGTCAAGCAATATGACTTAGAAGACTTCTTGAAGACCTTCATTAAGAATAAAGAGAAGCAATGGAAATATTTTATGATAACAAAGCCACAATTGCAATAACGAAGAATCCAATATTTTATGGAAGAACAAAGCATATAAAGATACGTTATCATTTTATCCGGGATCTTGTGGCAAACAGAGTCATAACAATAAAGTATTATAAAACTGATGAATAAGTTACAGATATTTTCGCCAAGTCGCTTCCGGTTCAAAAGTATGTTTATTTCATGTGGTAAATCGATATATGTAACTATGAATCAAGAGAAAGTGTTGAAAATTGATTCATAGTAGTTATCTAGATAGTTACCATGTTCTAAGTAGTTATAGATATATTTTAAGAAATGACCCATGATTTAGAAGTTATAAGATAATTCCTACACCTAACTCAATCATAGGTGACATGATGGAGTGAGATAATTACAACTAGATCCTATAAATAGGAATATAGTTCATGAAGCAAATTACATAGCATACACTTGGAATATCTTATAAATGTTCTATGTTTATCCTCCATCCCCAACAGCCTCCTCGTCTCCGACTTCGTCGACCGCCTCTGCCCCACCCTCTACTTCATCCATATGCTCGGTGTCACCCCAATCGCGCGGCACGCCTCGATGCTCTCCTGCAGCGTGGAGGAGAAGCGTCTCCCTCGGCTGGAGTTCCTGCAAGGAGTCGGGTTCTCCACGGGCGATGCGCTGGCCATGGCGAGGAGGTTTCCGCAGCTCTTCTGCCACAGCATAGAGGAGAATTTGAGGCCAAAGATGGATTTTTTTTGTGTGGGAGATGCGGCGGGACCTCATCGAGCTGAGGGAATTCCCGCAGTACTTCTCGTTTAGCTTGTCGAACAGGATAAGGCCCAGGCATCTGGGATGCGAGGAGAAGGCCGCCTCCTTCGCGCTGCCTGCGTTGCTGCGGCCGAGTAACGAGGAGTTCACTGCACAGTTGGAGGTACGCATCAGCTCTTCCCCTCCGCTGAGAAGGTCACCACTTTGGAGTGGAAGTTTGGATGCACAAGTAGAATGGGGTCTATAAGGCTACTGATGAAGTCTTTCGTTGTGAGTATAATCTCCCATAGTACGATGAGAAGTGTAAATTTGACTCGGTTCCATTCAATTCTGCTCATTTCCAACTGTTGTTCTGTACAATAGCTGATTGGTATTAACATGATTAATTTTGCAAGCCAAGGGTGCTTCTTCTGTCATGGCTTGTGACTTCAGGAATCTATTTCAACCAACCATCTGCATTCTTGCATAAACTCTTATGTCACTAAATTAAGTTACTGCTCCTTGTTATAGATGTTTTAATTACCTGATTTCCACTATAGCTATTGCATCAGAGCTTAGAAGTCGAATACCATAGCATAGAAAACTAGTTGATTACTCAAATTGCTAAAGACATCAAATGTGGTTAACCCACTTAGATAAACTTTTATTGAGTAGAAATTCATCATATGGTCTTTGTTTGTGAAAGAAACTTTACTAAATGTTTTGTGCTGTACCTAAGTTGTGATTTTGGTTCAAGAGTTCATCGTCGAAAGGTTTCTGTTATGTATGAGTTTATAGATGTGTGATTGATATTTGAATCTATAATGAAGTCAGCTGGTAGCTCCTCATACCTGAAAAGCCATTTGATAAAATAAGACGAAGATGAATCATGCTGCATGAATGGAATGTGTTTGGAATTACACTATAATGCAGTGCAGAAAAACAGAGTTGAGTACATAAAGAAACCAGAAAGGTTGTAGAAACCATTGTTATACTTTGGAAACTAATATTTTTACTTTGAGCATTATCTCTCTTTTAAAGTTCTTATTTTCTGATTAATTCTCTACTGCGATTCTTGCTATCATATTTTAATTGGAAGCTACTTGTCTTTGTAAAAGTATGATTTCGTGGTTGCGTAGCAATCAGATCAGAATCGTCGGTTGTATATTCATGTTTGCAAAACTACGATGCGGGTGTTTATTTGAAAGTGGTTACATCTTTTATTAACTGTGAAAAACACAAGTTTCTCTTTTACAAATTGACAACACTTGACAGTTTTGGTTTTGAAAACTTCGGACTTGTATGTCGCATCAGCCAAATGTACCTATTATTTAGTCTTTGGCACTCATTGATACATTGTCATGCACATAACTGACAGCTTTATGTTTCGACAAATTTGAAGACAATCATGGGCATGAATTAGACGCCGAGGCATCAACGATAAACCATTATTGTATCAAGATGTGTGACTCGTATCATGCATTGCCAAGACCAGTCAGAAAAGTGCCAGATGAGCCATCAAGATTACGAAATCACAAGTAATGCAATGACAACTCGAAAGCCACTGGATGCAGTGCACACGAGGGTGAGAATAGGGGGTTGGTCATACACTAAGCCGTAGAAACTTAACTCTATCAATAGATTGTTAATTTGCTTTCAGGACGGGCAGTAGAATGTTAATTTGCTCAAAGTAACTATGATTCTCTGGTAATTCATTAGGCATAAGTTGGTGGAGAATGGAGTTGTTTTAGTTGATTGGAGCTGATGATGTGCATTTCAGGTTAAAGCCCTAGGAAGTGAAGGGAAAACTCTAAATGTCTTTGACATCAGTGTCGATGGGGATCCATATTATCACAAGTTGCAACTACTAAAGAGATTGGAAGGATAGAATCACCAACAAAGTTCTTGCTTGTTTCAGGTGCCAGGAAGCAGCTAGCAGGTTAGATTCTGCATCAACCTTATTTTGAATGTATTTAGTCTTATTACTCCTCTAATGTGATTTTTTTCCTGTAGTATTCTTCACAAAAGAATGACCGAACATCCGATTTTGGTATTTCTTCAGTCATTGTTTGCAAAGCTACAATGTGCAGATTTATGTTGTTGTGGTCAGGACATTCCAATGATAAAATAGACAAGGTTAATCAATCAAATATAGCATATGCAATGCTCTAAGGAAGACAGAGGTCAAGTTATTGAAGTCTTGATGCTTTAGATTATGGCGACTTGAAAAATCATCATGACTGCATGCTAGTCATTGAGGCATCAACTACAGATCATGCTAACCATAAGTATGAGTTTGATAAGTTCATCTATTACTAGTGTCATATCTAGAGAAGGATTTTGCCACATATATATTTATAATGTTTTCTTATTTCATTGTGTAATCAGATTAGTAGAGTTTGTAAATTAAGTTCCTCGGTTGGTTTAGGAGGCTGCTTCTCTTTCTCTAACTAAAGAAAAACATGTCGGAGGCAGCACTCTGGACATCAACATTGGCATATTTTGTGAGGGATTGTTCTGCTACTATCTTTTGTGATGCTCAGAAGATGCACCACACAAGAAAGTGACAAGGTAGGGAGTTTCTTGCTGTTTAAAGAGGGAATCAGCATAATATATATGTTGGTTTCCTATCATGTGACCTATGTGGATCAATCAATCGTTTTAGAAACATCTCTTTAAGAGAAAGGATAAATAGAATCTTTTGGACAGCAGAAGATAGTTCTGTTTATCAACAGTCTAAATCTTTTTTTTTTTTTAATGAGGTGACTTAGGAAGAAAAATTTATTGGACGAAATCTTAAAATCTCGTCCATAAATAAGTGGATTTGATACATTATCATCGGTGTAAATTGTTAGATGAGTTTTTGATCTCTGTAAAAGAAATTATCTTTTATATGTATAATGTGACTTCTGTTGATTAATTAATAATCTTGCAAACATCATCTCTCGAAAAGACTAAAATCTTAATTTGGATAAATCTCCGGAATAGCTGGGAAATTGTGCTTCGATTTCCAATGTTTCTTGGCCTTAGTAATTGATCGTAGCTTCTAGTCAAAATGTCAAACTTTACTCAGCTGAAAGTCAAAGTCAACATGTAAGAAAAATACATTATTTAATTATATATATGTAAGTAAGCAATACTCGAAACTACAAATCCACGAACTGTATAGTGTACATCTCTCGATACCCATACGACGTATACGTATACCGATGAAACAATGTAGTGTGGTGCACGAAGCTAAAAGTGGTGCACGTGGCACTTGGTCTTCTCGAAGGAGCCGGCGGTCCCCGGCACGGGAAGCTTCAAGCTGCAGTCGATCCGCGGCCGGTTGTACCGAATCTTAAAGACCCACACCTTGAGTCGCAGCTTGGCGTACACGCTGACGTCCACGTAGTAGAAGCCCTCGCCCGTCTCCCTCACGTACGTCTCCGCGACGCCGTCCTCCGTCACGACCTGCGCGCCCTGGAACGCCGGGGCGAGCGCCGCCGTGCTCTTCCGCCTCTGGTAGAAGACGGGCAGCGGGGCGTAGCCGAAGCGGAAGCCGTCGTAGCTCGCCCGCGCCTCCAGGTAGTCGTAGTAGATGCTGATCCGCTTGTTGGGGTTGCGGATGCTCATGGCGAGGCTGAGGTTGTAGCTCAGGCTGCCGGTGCCGGTGGTGTAGTTGAATTGGGTGAGGGAGGCGTCGTCGACGTGAGCCTTGATGTCGTTGGGGCGGAAGATGAGCCAGAGGACGAGGACGACGATGCCGAGGGTGATGACGATGGAGACGATGAACTTGACGAGGTTGCAGAGGAGGCAGCAGGGGCCGCAGCAGCAGAAGCCGGAGCTACGGCCGACGCTGCGGTAGGTGTCTCGCGGCGGGACCGGGGGGCCGTAGTAGGCCCCGTTCAGGTAGGACTGCTTCGACTCGGCCATGGGATCGAGCAAAAGAAGAAGGGAAGAGAGATTGAATGATACGGTGCATGAGGGGTTGGAAGGGTAAGGGGCTTTATAGAGGTAGGAGTGCGAGGCCAAAGGGAAGGAGAAGGCTCGCGGGGGCTGCCGCGCTGCGTGTTGCGGGCGGAAGAAGGAATCGAAACGCGTGCCATGAGGACGCGTTCAAGCTCCTTGTTTCGCTCAGAGGGCGTTTCGTGGTGTTTGGTTGGTGACGGCGATGAGGGAGAGTAGTCGCGACGTAGGTTAGAAAGACAGGATGAAGACGCCAAATCGTCTGCGCGGTAAGAGAGAAGAGGCGGAAGAGTTCAAATAAAACACGGATGGATTGGCCATAAAACGTGGGAATTCAACTTCTAATCTTTGTTTCATACTAAATCTGGATTAAAAAATATAACGTGGATAAAAAATAAAATACATAGTACAAATATGTTTATAATATTCAAAAAACGTCGGATTCAACAGTAACATGTTTTAATCCGACTTGCAGAGCAGTCATTAATTCATCTTTGATAGTTATAGTTAAAAAAAAAGAAGAAGATAATATTCTTATGGAGCAATCAACAACTAGGAAATTTCTCAAACATACCTTACCGATATCATCATCTCTCTTGAGAATAAATTGTAAACCACCATTTTAATATTTTTAATGAAACTATCACAGTTCAATTTATAATTTGTCAAAAGAGAATTTTAACCATTTGACATATTGAGAGGGATGAGGAATATTATAATCTAAAACTGAAGAAAAAATTCGATAAAAAAAGACAGACAAAAAATCCATTGTATAAGGCATAATTTCTAGTCCTTCAAATCTACCATAGACCAATGCCAATAATAACAATTAGGGTATCACTAGCACCTTCCTTAAGCTAACAACTAGAAATTCGTTCATCAAAAACTCAAAACCTAAAGCAAAAGACTATCCTAGAGAACAAGTACAAACATAAATAATAAGAAAAAGATTTAGGTTCAACACCACAAAGCAGATAGTGAAGAATATCATAAATGGAAGTGATAATCTAATAATTTTTAGTAAATTGAGACATGATCAAAAATTTTCACAAGCGATGCCATTGGTCCACAAAGCCGATGGTTAAATTTAAATGGAGGCGAGCACATATTTAGTAAAAAATCTACTCTTACTATCTGATTTTTGTAACCCAAATTTGTCAAGGGTTGATAAATAGATCAATGTTGTAATTTTTTTTAATTAATATATTGTCAAATAATGAGTGATGTCAATATCTCATTTACAATTATTAATAAGAGTGAAATAGATTGGTTACAGTTTAGATGTTTGATGCTAAGAAATATTAATTTATAAGCTAATGAAATCTTAGACAACTCGAACTTAGGTTCGAAGATCGGGGCAACGACATATGTCAGATGATCTCGATATTTGAGCTATACCTGAACACGTGGTTGGAATCATCAGCCATTCGAGGTAGCTTTTTTATGATGAGTTCACACAGATTTCATGCACGAAAGGGCTTTTTAATAGCCCTGCGGACGGCTTTGAAACAGTTCAACAAATACATGGGTTGGTCTTTGACCAACCAAGCATTGGGAGAAGATGATGGCAAGCAAAAAATATTAATGGAGAGATATAAACATTGATGTTGGCGACCACTAAGTTCCTTGTGAAGAATAAGCTATTCGATTACGTTCAAGAAATAGTCCAATTTACAAACATACGTACAGGATTTGAACTCCTAACCTTTGGATTCGTGCACCATAGCCATCGAGCGGCTTGCCGCCCTGTTTTAATAGAACTCAAAACTCAAATCTGATTATTACTAACAATTTTTGTCAATAAATAATTTGAATTTTAAATTATTAACTTCATTGTAATTTTTTAAAGAATATCAATATCAATTAAAATATTAAACATCCATTCTTTTATAATAAAATGATATTTAACTAATGGAAACAAATTTCATGGACTCGTGTATATATATATGATCCATGATCCTCAAATTCAGAATCTCGTTGCCACTTTGATAAGCTTTATCTGGTGGAGGTAAAGCATTGATCTCCTAAATATAAAAGATAGTTGGATCTGCTCTAGAATTCAACAATTTCATTTCTCTAAAACTTTAGGGAAAAAAGATATAAGCATATTAAAGCTCCAGTTTTTAAGATAATTGACCAAGATATTTTCAGCTTCTGCTTAAGGTTGAAGGATGACCGGTCAAAAAAGGAAGCAATTTGGTAACCTATCTGGTCCACCAATGGCTAGTTGTTCTTTAACTAATCCAATTGGCCGTCTCGGTTTTGTTTTATGGTCAAGTCCACCAAAGTAAAATAATTGTTTAATTATATTTCACAACTTATGCTATTTAACAAAGCAAATATTTTATCTGCCTCATCAAGCATTAAATGACAGTAATCAAACAGAAATTTGTAGCCTCACTTATGTACATGAAATGCAATTATTATCATACTTATTTTGCAAAAAAATTTAAAAATGGATTACTTTCTAATGCGCATGCAGATTAAAGAAAAAAAAGAGAGAGAAAAAACTCTCCTCTCGAAATAAAAGGCAGTATGGGTAAGTTTAGCAAGATTTTATCAACCCAGTTGGCAACCATTTAACAAATATTGAATATTTCTAATTACAGATGAAATACTTCCAATTCCTTGCAAATTATGAGCAATTGCCTCGAACATAACATGCAACTATAAACCTTTTAGTTAACTATAGCAAAAAGATAAGACTAGTTATGCTGTCGAAACTAATGTAAACCTTGAAACTTGCTAAGATAATATAATGAACAAAGAAGGAATATTATCTGACCAAGATGGCCAAGTTATCAGTGCCACATACCTGAGAAAAATTGTTTTCCTTCAAAATGCAGATATTTAAGTGCGACCTGCAATCACAACCACAAGAGGGGCCAAAGCGAAGACAGAGTATCACCTCAGGTTGCTGGCGCTTTATTACTTCCATGTCTTTGGTCTTCCTGCCAAAGACCACTCCAACCAAATAGAAAGAAACAAAACCTCCTAAAAGATATTACAACCAAAGTACAGTCACTCGCCAATCCACCACGGCCAAACACCGCTCGGCTCCTGCCAACCCCGTTGGAGCGCACCTCCTGTCTCTTGTACCCAAGTATGACACGCCACTGCCACGTATCCACTTCGATACGAACCCCGGAGGTTTTATATCTTGCACCTCCCTGTCTACGCGAACCTACTCACAACCAACTCAAAACCATCTCTCTCGTAAAGTAATCAATAATGAGAAAAGGGGGTGCGGAATTATCCGGTCCAGCTAAGCGGAAGCTTCGACCCGCTTCTTAGACGGCCGCTGAATAGGCCCCACCGGCGAGCGGAAGCGGAAGGTAACCGCGTCGTGGACGCACCAGTGGAAACTCGGGAGACGGCCCTCCGCCCGCGCCTCCTCGCACTCCTCGCACGCCGCCGGACGAGGAGGCGCCACTTCGGCGCTCGTCCGCGACACCCACGCGTACCCGTCCTCCGCCACCGCGAACGGTCCGTACGAGGCGGCCGCCATCGTGGTTGACAGGAGGCACTTCTCACGCTGCAGCTGCAGGTCCCGCAGCTGGGTCCCGTAATCCCACAGCCCCATCCCGGCCATCGCCTCCGGAGCCAATCCGCCGAGCGCCGGGTCGAGGCCACCCGATCCCGCCGGGTTCCGCCTCAGGATCGTCATCTCCGGCACATCCTTCCTCCCCTCCATCCCATCATCCCCGGCGCGGTTCCTCCTCCTCGAGCGGCCCCGCCTCTCCCGGCGGGGCCGGCGGAGGACGGCGAGGACGAAGCAGTCCCTCTCGCGAGCGATGGCGCCGAGGTCGGAGGTCTCGTCGATCGGCACCTTGCGGCGGACCTCGGACGAGGCCCCGGCCTTCCTACGGCGTACGAGCGACATCGAGATCTGGTGGGGAGCGACCCCGATCCTCTGGCTGATGACCGCCTGGAACTTTCCGAACCCCAGCGACGGGGTCACCGAGATGGATCCCATGTCGATCTCCCGATCACCGTCGAAGAAGAGGACGGGAAAGGAGGCGAAGGCCGCTGTCGCGGCCAATCCCGCCGCCATATCACCGGCGAGGCCGGAGCAGACCGGGGTAGGGTTTGTGAGGGTCGGAGAAGGGAAGAAGCATTGGAATCGTGGAGTCTGGATGAGGTTAGAGTGCCAGGCTTTTATAACTGGCTGTTTGAGCCACAGGGTTTTTCGGTGGCTGCGCTGAGGCAGTAGGGATATTTTTGGTAGGAGAATAATTTCCTAGGATCGCTTTGGCCGTAAGGGACTCCTCGTTAAATAATAAAAATAAATATTATTATTATTATTATATTTTTGTTAATATTTAAAAATATTATTTAAGTTTATATCGTAAACTTGGTTGAGAGTTTTCATCACTTTAAAACAATATTTTATTCTTTTTGATGGATTCACGCTTCTAATCTCTTGCTTGCCTTGTAAGCTATAGAAAAGGGTGTTTTTGTCATTGCAGTAGGTTGAAACCCCGTCGAACGAGATTAACACGGCTTCTACACGTGCTCGACGTCCTCAATTGGGCTGTTTTTAATTTCATTTTATTTGGGTGTTTTTACATATATATTCTTGCTTGCTTAAGAAGTATTATATTAAACCTTATAAATTTTAGTAGGTAGTATGAACATCCAAATATTAAGCTCCTTCACACACATCCTTTTTGCTAACATCTATAGTTTTGTTTAATATTACCTAATATAAATTGAATAATATATATTTTAAGTATCTTTAACATTCTCATTATCATTATAAGATTTTAAAGGGTATAAATATAATATTCATACCACCAACTCAACTTTGTTGGTAAATTTTTTCATGGATCCGAATAATGAATGTGATTTATGATGAAATTTTAGTATAACCTTGACAAATTAAAAAGAAATTCTAAGAATTATATTTACAAATTATTTATATATTAATATCTAAAAATCTCTATCATTCTTACCATTATAATATAAAGCTTATAAGCACATTAATTTCATTAGCAATTTTCAAGTCTCTACTCTATGCAAATTTTTTGGGTTTGCAAGGATATGTATGTCAATTTTGAATATAGAGAAATTAATTATTCAAAGGATATTACTATTTATAATCGATTTGTTATTAAACTTTAAATATTCTTAAGATATATTTTTTTATAAATAGAGGTATGTATCTTTAATTTATAATTTAATTTAAATATAATTTTTTCTTTTCCCTTCTTGATTTTCTTCTCCTCCTCTTAATCATCGTAAGTGATGCAAAATAATATAAAAATAGATGATGAAATAAGATCAATTGAAGATCTAAAAGAATGAGGTGAAAAATAATTTTTGATATTTATTATAA